GATATCTTGATCTAGCAGGAGTGCATCTGTTCACTTTACATTACCTCACTGCCATAAACAAACATCAGCTGATGTCCTAGACTAAGCCCAGACCATCTATTTGTGAACTTCGTGTTCTCCAGGCCACAGTGGCGTTCTCCAATAAAAGAGGGGTGTCTGCTGCAGTGGATCCCCATGTGTGCTGAATAGCTCAAAATCAATAGGCTAGGGCATCCACTTTATGTTGAAAGCAGATCTTGACAGCATCTCACTGACAGAGTGCCTCTCGCATGCTTGCAGCATGCACGGATCACTCCATGGCATGGCTGACTGTTTACATCCTATGCCAACTCAGCTGACATGTAATTAACATTATGTCTTGATATCCTGCTGTTGTTTGCAGTAACTTCAAGTCATGACGCTGACACATCGACAACAAGCAGTGAACACTTCGATACAGGGCCAAAACGGCACAGACATCTACTTTAGTTTCCAGGGATGTCACCAAGTAAGGGCCCTTCGTGAACATGGGAATCTTTGTACCTGCACTCTCTGGCCATGTTTTTAATGGAGTAACGATGTTTTGTAACTCATGAAAGTAATGGTCTACAGTGATTCCTTATATATCTGTTTGTCTTCAGTCAAGTAGGGTGCATCAATTTAATCATAGCAATATGGAAAAGGAAATAAAAGCTTAATCTCTACACAAAACTGCATAATCCTGAGCAAGTTCCATAATCCCTCTATACATCGGTTTTATTTCTGTACAATGGAGATAATAATAATAATACCTACCCTTATAGGCTTATTCTGACAAAACAAGATAAATTATTCAACTTGCTTTACATAAATGCTTGCCACAAAGTAACTGTTTAATAAAGGTTAGACTAAATAAAGCAATAATTATGCTAAAAGAGAGTGCTTCAGGAATTTCTAGATTTAACACATACTATGCAATACCTGTGACACAGTTATTTGAAGAGGTGAGAATGTACAATACCTGGGACATACAGTTTTTGAATAGGCATTAACAGAATTTAGAATAAACTGGAATAACGAAATGATTCAGTTTAGTTAAATCACAGATTTAAAGCTATTAAATGATTTTATCATAATAAACTATAATATATTACAGTATCATTAAGTACACCAATGACATCTTCCAAATATAATACTAAAACACAAAACAAGCATAAGAAAAATAAATAAATAAATAAACCTACACAAGTTTAATTTTGGTAAGATTCCAAGTATATTCTTTAAAATCACTGTTCTTTCAGTTTGGCTTCAACCAAAATATATCTTTATTATTTATTTATTTATTTATTTAGAGTTGGAGTCTCACTCTGTCGCCCAGACTGGAGTGCAGTGGTCGCTCCCGGCCACTGCAGCCTTGACCTGCTGGGCTCCAGTGATCCTTCAGTCTCAGCCTTCCAAATAGCTGGAACTACAGGCGTGCGCTACCACGCCTGGCTGATTTATTTTTTTGATTTATTGTAGAGATGAGGTCTCGCCTGCCCAGGCGGGTCTCGAACCCGCAGGCTCAGGCAATCCACTCACCTCAGCCTCCCAAAGGCGCGGGATTACAGGCTGAGCCACTGAGCCTGGCTATATCTTTATTTTTTAAAATGCAGCCTCTCAGAAAGCATTAATAGCTATTGTATAACTATATTGGTATTAGAATCTAACCAAGGACCAAAAGTACTCTTACATAGAAGTCAAATAAACACCTAGTATTAATAAATGATTTATTTTCACATTACTTTGACTCCAATTTAAATGTTCCTGTGAGCACCTTTGAAAAGTCTTTTCACCTCAGTGCCTTTCGAGTGTTCACTTTGAACAATGATTTTGCAGCTGGCCAAACCTGACTCTCAATCAATCTTTATGAGTACAAATTCTTGAGCTGATGTCTGGATCTCCAGCTATATCACTCATATAATACACACTCACAAGTGGTGATGAGATTCACATTATCACCAGAACACCATTCTGCTGATGGTCGCAGCAGACACAGCAGGGGTATACTGTCCTCCTATGAAAATGATTCCTTCACCTTTCAATAACATAGCCTGCAGGTATGAACTTATAAGCTGTGTGTGGATAGAATAAGAACTGTCTTTAAAAATACTAATAAAAACTACCAAGTTCCTCCCAATGGGCCATTTTCATTGAATCGCCATACATATCCATCTTGATTTTGAAGCATGTGCCTTCAGTTTGTCTTCCCATTACATTTGGAATTGAATGGACAATTCAACTGTGTTTAAACTTCAAAAAGTTGTCAGAGTACTGGCGTGCATACTCAATATACATGGACATAGGATTCTCTGTGTGAGTACGTATGTATATATGTACATATGTGTGTGTGAATATATTATGCTTAAACAAGACTTCAATATTAAGATGATACCTCAGGTAGAATAAGTACAAATTATCATTTGGTGGTGATTTTCCTAAATTTCAATTATGGAGCATACAGGTTGGCCTACTCTGATTTGAGTTGAATGTTTCCTTTTCAAATGTAAAATATATTGTTGTTATTGAGATAATTTTAGCTCCCCCAAAGACATAATTAATCTTCCCCAAAGGCAAACCAAATAACAGCCTCAAAGTATTCCAATTCCTTTTTTCATTTCTAAACTCTTTCATTAGTGATAATCAGAGTATATGTGTTTGTTCCATAACTTTGAATTCTTATGATCACATGCTAAAAAATTAGATTGGGGTAAAAGATTACCTGGAATCTTACCTGGCAAAAAGCATTAGGTGATAATTTAACCTCTCAAAAATAATCTACAGAAGCCTAATTTTCAAGTTAAAGCAATCAGTATATTAAAAGTTTTAGTTGACAGTTTCTTAACCAGATCTGCAGACTAAGATACCCTCCATTTATTCTTTAAAACATAGTGACTAATATGAATGACATGTTGATCATTTGTCGTTACTGGACCATATTCCCATGTTCTCTCATACATATTTCCACCAGTCAAGCTCACTGCTTACTACATGTTGGATGGGTTTGTTCCCAAATAGTTTATGCCAATAACATTAGCTACTGAAATTAATGAATTAAATGAGAGTCTCTATATAAATGCATAAATTATAACTGAAAAAGAAGCTGTGATTTCTATGAAAAATTTGTTAAATATATTCACAAGACTTGATGAAGACAAATCACTAACACAAACTTGTTAAATGAGTTCTGAGACATCTATCTATAAGATATGAATAAAAGGTAAATGTCCAAAAAGACCTACACCCAAATTGCTTAGTAAATGCATTTAAATTCTTGTACCAGTGTAAAGAAATACAACCTGAAAACTGTAGAAGATGCCTCAAGGGTGTCATTTTTTGGAGGACAGATCACCCAGGACTCCAAACAGGTAACCTTTGCTCAAAGCAAAAGCTTGGGATCTATATAAAAAAAAAATTGACTGTGTATGTGCATCTCTGTGGGTGTATTGCTTATTAAACTAGTTGATCAAATATTGGTTCTGATTAGAAACATTTGCTTTTTAGCCTGGAAAAAAAAAAAGTAGGCTGGCTGTTTGACATATAGAGAAAACTACTTTTGACTGAATTTTCACACTTTTCATGAAGTTACCATGACATCATGGGACATCAATAAAGTAATTTTATCCAGAAATTGATGGATGGCTGTATGTATCTCTGGAAGACAACAGGCTATATGTATCTCTGGAAGACAACAAATAATCATTTTCCTTCCTTGGTATTTCACTATGTCATTCTGATCCAGCTCAGTTAAGCTTGCTTAATGTGTGGTAGAAATCAATGAAATTTTACCGACTGTTTTGTGTTAAGAATTCCTTGAGTGATTCTCTTTTTATATATTCCCACTAGGAACAAAATAGCTTGAATTTTTCATGGGATGAAATAACTATTACTTAGAAAATTATTCTTTAGGGTAAATTTAACTTAGGTTATTCGTGATTTAAAAATAAGTCACCCAAGCCGGGCTCGGTGGCTCAGCCTGTAATCCCGCGCCTTTGGGAGGCTGAGGTGAGTGGATTGCCTGAGCCCGCGGGTTCGAGACCCGCCTGGGCAGCGAGACCTCATCTCTACAATAAATCAAAAAATCAGCCGGGCGTGGTAGCGCATGCCTGTAATTCCGGCTACTTGGAAGGCTGAGGCGGAAGAATCGCCGGAGCCCAGCAGGTCGAGGCTGCGGTGGCCGGGAGCGGCCACTGCACTCAGTCTAGGCGACAGAGTGAGACTCCAACTCAAAAAAAAAAAAATAAAAAAATAAGTCACCCAAACTGTATATTTCAATAATTTGTCTGCATTCAGAATCCAATCATAAATAAAACAGTTAATTGATTTAAAAAAAAATTTATGTGAATAAGTAAGTTGTTGGCTTATTTGTATTAAATATGCCAGACACTAAAAATTTGTATAAAATGTGGTATATTTGTGTTAAATGGCTACATATTTGCATTAAATGCATTAAAATGGCTTATCTGTATTAAAATGGTTGATTATATGGTTTATCTTCAAAATACCAGAATAATGCACTGGTTCTCAAGGTATAGTATTGGAATCCCAGAAGTTTTCAAGATCCTTTCAGAGGGTCTGCAAGGTCAAAACTATTTTTATAAAAATATCCAAAAGTGATTTGCCTTTTTCACAGTTATTCTCTCAGGAGTATACACTGGAGTTTCCTAGAGGTTACATTTTATCAGATATTGCAACAAAATGAATACAGAAGCTGATACAAGAATATGGTTATATTGTATTAAACCAGACAATAAAAAGACATGCAAAAGCAGGAAACAATGTGACTCATTTTACTAAATTGTTTGGCTTGGAATACAGTTATTTTACATAAAAATCTTATTTGTGTTTGCACGTAATGGATTTCTTACTTTTATTTTTAAATAAAATATTTTTTTAAATTTCTTAAACTTCTAAAACAGCAAGTATTGATAGATATAACCCAAATAAAAACTTGAGAATCGTTGTCTTACAGTGATTATGTAACAGAAAAGAAAGTGACTAACCTGAACAAGAACAAAGTAACGTTTTTTCCACCTTTTCCAAACCTTCTGTCCAACGGCATACAGATATCTGGAAGAAAAACAAACATGCAAAAGAATACTTTACATGAATAATGTTGTTGTTCTGTGTAATCATATTTCTCCCATAGGTATTTATTTTTGAGACTAGCCTGCTAAAGGCAAAGTTTAACTCATTTGAAATCTGAGACAACATGCAGCTTCTATGTGACAAAATGCCTGAGCTTATTCGAGATCCTTGAAAGGGAACAGATTTATGCAGCTTATCAATTTGTCAGTCCTTACCACAAATTGAGCGAAGTAGGAGTCAGAAAGGATAATAAAAGAACCAGCTGGAATTTTATTCTTTACACATACTTAGGAGAGACAAAGACTATGATACGGGGGACACGGTTCTAAATGCTTCCGTTCTCAGATGACAGGAGCTGAGCAATGCGGCCTGAGGAAGAGCTGGCCACAGAGTCAAGAACCCAGGGTGAGGGGTCACTGTCCAGCTGGGTGACCCCAAGATGCACCTGCACCAATCTCAGTTTCCATTTCCTCACCTATCCAATGAAGGATGGATTTGTTGATTTCTAAATTTTCTGTCAGCTCTATCATTTGGGGATTTACCTGACTTATGAGAGTGTCTTATTGCAATTTTTTAAACTGTAAAGTTCAGATAATAATAAAAAGTGACATTGTATAGTTTAACACAATCTCAACCATGACTTTTGTTTTACTTTGCACTGATCTTAGTAGACTGCACTGAAATGATTATAGTAGTTATTTCAGAATATTGCTCTTACTGAATGTATAGATGATACACTGAAGTGGCAGGAAGGAAAAATAATCAATTCAAAATGAATCAAGAGTGACCTTGGTGTGAGGAGCTACAGTATTCTAAAATTATATCACAGAACTATACACATACTTTCTACAAAAGTGGAAAATATTGTTAGACATTTAAAATATGGCAAAGAGGCCTAACTTTAAAATTTAAAAACAGATTTCACAATATTTTATCACAATCCCTTTTTCTGAAGGGATTGTGGCATAACAGGGCAGAGGCTATTCAAACTAACTTAATTTATACACAATCTGGAGTGATAAACAGCATTATGGCTAACATAGATTGTTTAGGAGCTTAAGATCTTTGGAAGTCTCATAATTTTGACAGCTAAAATCCTAGCATGAATTTTTAGCTCTTATATCATTAAAAAGAATTATCTTTTGCAAAACAGGAACAAACAAACGGTTTCCCCCCTTTAATAACAGTAACATGGGCTATTGGCTAAGGTATAGTAAAATTAATGGGCACTCTTGTTCATTAACAGAGGGAGTAAGTGTACATGAGATCACCTTCCTATGGGATAACATGGCAATATGTAGAAATAGTCCCACCTTTACATTCTGGAATGTGTTAAGGTAATTATTAGAGATGCACATAAAGATGGATGCTACATAGATACCCAGAACACTTTTATTTATGCTACTGAAAACTGGTAACGAATGTCCAACAGTTTGGGATTAATAAGTAATGGTATAGCCACAGACAGAAATACTATGCTGCTACTGACATGGTGTTTTTGATAAAATTAATAATATAGAAAATATCCCATTAAATAACATTATATGAAAAGAGTTGGGTTCAAAATTACAACACACTTAATGATTTCAAATTTATAAATAAAATAAAATAAATATTCCAAAATATTAGTCATTGTTTCTTTGAGTGGTGGAATTAGGGCAGATTTAAGTTTTCTTCCTCATTCTCCATGTCTCCTAAATTTTCAGAATCAGGGAAGAATATAAAGTTATTAAAAATCAAAATAAAAACAGTTATTGCATTGGCAAGCATCACTCAAATGATCCAAATCAATTACATATTTTCTTTCAGACGTATCAGCTAGATGAAGTGTTTGGTGAACATCTATTCGGCCCTTAATACCATCATCTGTGCTTGTGGATGAAACGTGAATTCATTTAAAGACTGGCTAAGATGTTGACTGCTCCTGTTCTCATCTGTTCATTGTTTTTTCTCAAGGTCCTCTTAAAACCCTTTGCCCCACCTTTGCTCCAGCCTCTAATTTCTCTTCTGTGGTTCTAGTGATAGGTGTTTAACTGCTCTCTTTCTGTCTTTCCTATGTAATTTCCTCTCCTGAAATGCACATACCCAAGCTCCTATTACAAGGTTAACAGCAATGACCTCAGGAGCTAGATACTGCGGACATGACAGATGCCTGCTATGAAGATGCGCTGGCAAGACATGCACCAAATAGCCGCCTAGGAGCAACAGAGGGCATTCAGAATAACCTTTGGCTGGAACCACAGCCTGCTTCTCAGCACTTTCAAAGTGCAGACTTTGCAGACTTCTGGGCAACCAGGTCATACACAAGTGAAAGTGAAGTGTTATGCAAACCATCAACACCACAAGCAAGTCCGTGTCAGCATTGCTGACAGGGAAGGTCCTGCATAAGGAGTAATAGTCAGCTGCAACATCTCTCAGGATGATGGGTTAACACATCAGGAAGGAAAATGTATGATTTCTCTGAAGACAGAAAGTAGAGAAGTGGGTGAATGCATACATGCAGTACAGGGGGGCTGGTGAAAGGTGTTATAAGAAGTAGACTAAAAGAGAATTTAGGACTGGAACTAAGGCAAGCATTTGGATGTTGGACCTTCAAGTAAGTTGGGCTGTGGCACCATAAGAAATAATCCAATCAAACATACACAAAAGTGAAAACTGACACATATCCAGAAAGTATCTGGTCTTAAGAGTTTTACTGACTCTCTGCTTAATGGGGGAAAAATCAGCAAAAGATTACCTGCCTACAAGGCAATTAGAAATAGCATGCAGAAAAAAATATATATATAACAGTCCCTAAACTCTTAAAGTTATCCTATTAGCTAGAAAAGATTCTGATTTTAAAAATGGACACAGGTAAAATACATTAGAAAAGATAACCATACTGAATAAGTATACTTTAAATTTTTTTTGTATTTTAAAATTTATTTGTTTTATTTTAAAATTGTGGGGGTACAATTCTGGATTAGGTTTACAAGTGGTCATTATATAGGTAAAGTGTAGGCCTCCCTTTGGTCCCCACTTTGCCTGATTTGAGGTCAGGTACCCTAATTTATATTATGTGCCCCCTCTCCCCTGGCAGTTTCTGGCTACTGCCAATCCCTATCTTATAGTCTTATGGTAAGTGTTTAGGGTCCACATATGAGTGAGAACATGTGATACACATTTCTTTGTTACTGTGATTTAAAGGATGAGTTCTAAGATTAGGTACCAAGTATCACTTTCTAGCTGCCTTGTCACAAGTTTAAAGGTAATTTTTTGACATAAGAAGCACATTTAGAAATGAGGGAAGAATGGAGAAAAAAGCATTCATCAATATTACTAAAGAGTAAAAACTCAAAAACAATCTCAGACTCAAACAATAAAAAATGATTAGGTTGTCATTAAAAGTAAAAATGAATTACTAATGATGAGAAAGAATTCTTGTGACTTTAAAGTTAAAAAAAAAAAAAGGCAGTCACATGAGTTCACACTATATGCCTGGGGAAAAAATTCAGAAAAATGCAAGAAAATGTTAAACTTGTAACAAATATCTGGCTGGTGAGATTAAAGATAAATTTCATATTTTCTTTTTACCTTTTGTATTTCCACAATTTCGATATTGACCGACATATCTTCCTTTTTTGTTTTGGGTAAAGTTTATTGGTATAGTTGACAGAAAGAAAAATTCACCTGTTTTAGATTGTCAGCTTGATGAGTGCTGACACAGTCACATAACCATTACCACAATAAACTTATCAAACATTTCCATCTCCCCAAAGTTCTCTCATGTCCTTTATGATAAATCCCCTCCTCACATCCCGAGCTCTGGCAGCCTCTGATTTTATTTCTGGCCTTATAGTCTTTCTTTTTGCAAAATGTCATATAACAGAAATCATACAGTACATAGCCTTTGTATCTGACTTCTTTCATTTTGTAGAATGCTTCTGAGGTTCACCCAAATGGCTGCCTATATCAGAAGTCCCTTCCTTTATATTGTTAAGCAATACATTCCATTGTATGAATTTACAGCAATGTGGTTATCCATTCACCAGTTGGTGGGCATTTGAGTTGTTTCTACTTTTTTTGGATCTCATAAATCAAGCTACTATAAATATTTGTGTAAGCTTATGTTTTCATTTCTCCTGAGGACACATCTAGGAGAGGGACTGCTGGGTCATATTGAAAGTGTATGTGAAGCCAGGCTTGGTGGCTCAGTCTGTAATCCCGTGCTTTGTGAGGCTAAGGTAAGTGAATTGCCTGAGCTCGCAGGTTCGAGACCTGCCTGGGCAACTTGGCGAGACCTCATCTCTACAATAAATCAAAAAATCAGCCGGGCGTGGTAGCGCATGCCTGTAATTCTGGTTACTTGGAACGCTGAGGTGGAAGGATCGCTGGAGCCCAGCAGGTCGAGGCTGCGGTGGCCGGGAGCGGCCACTGCACTCCAGTCTGGGCGACAGAGTGAGACTCCCACTCAGAAAAAAGAAAGTGTATGTGTAACTTTACAATAAACAACCAAATTGTATTCCAAAGTGACTATTCCATTTTGTATCACTACTAGCAATGTATGAGAAAAAACATTATCATTATTAAATACTTTGGGATGTGGTCATTATGACTACAAATAAGCATTTCTGGTATGACAACTGAATATTTATAGACCATAAATAAGTGCCTATCTCTTTATCTTGAGTGCAGTAGAACATGCCTGTTAAGCTTTCATGGGTAAATGGATTTTCCAGTTTTCAAGGTCATCCTCAAGTTTTGGAATTTGAAGTAGTCTAAATTCCTTGTAAATGAGTTGTCCTATTACCTTACAAGGGTTACATGTGGAGGGACTGGGCAAAAAGGTGCCACAATCGTCTGACTATTTGGTAACCATTAGATAATCCACTTATCAAAAACCACCTGTGAAAATCAAAATGCATTTTCTCTGAATACATCTGTCTAGCATTGCTGTTGAGTCACTGTTCTGTTTGTTTTGTAATGTTGTGTTAGGATTTAAA